GGGCGTTGCTTGCGAGAGAGAATATCCACGGGTGGATTTCCTTCTTCCAGGGAAAATCGATTCCCAGTTGAAACGAGAGAAATTGTTTTGCTCAAGGTGGTGGAAAATAGGTCACGTGAGGGTTAAATGAGAATATATTTTGACTGGAAAATTTAACCTATCAAACACCTCAAAAAGTGGAAATGAAACTTATTTTCTAACTTAGCTGGAAAAAACTGCTCATCAAACATGGCCTAAGGGTAATTGACTAAAAAAGGCCATATGTGTCCACCGACTGGCGCATTTTCATAAAAAACAAAAGATATTATGAGCATAGCGATGGAATACACTTTGTCCTTTCATATATATATCAAATGTTAATATAGAGACGTCGATGTGCGAAAGTAGTACATGAACCAATCATGAGATGTTAGTTATAATGATCATAAACATCTGAGATAATTTTCTAATGAAGTAATTCGAATAAGAACGGCTACATGTGTTCACCAGCTAGATGCATTATCAGTTAAGGATATTCTAAGCATAGCGAGCGTACGCACACGTTTCTGTCATAATGCATTAATATAGAGACGTAGGTGTACGAAAGCAGTATGTGAATGAATAATGATATAACCAATAATAATATGTTAGTTATAACAATTATAAATATGGAAATGCTTGTTGTACATCAACATTTTTAGATAATCATTTACATATTGATGAGGTGTCAAAAAGATAATGTAGATTTTTTTCTTTCAAAAATGCTAGTTGTTCGGATTTTTTTTTAATAGATGGGGTTACATGTGCCGAACTGACAAGGTTTCATTGATTGGTTTAACTTTTATTTTTTGTCCAAAATGATGTAGAATCTTGCCAACTCAACATTTGTAATCCCGTTTGTTAAAACATGTAAAATTAACATCTCTCTCTCTCTCTCTCTCTCTCTCTCTTAGTTGATGAGATATTCTTTTTTTTTTTTTTTATTTGGTTGATGAAATTTTGATCCAATTAAATTTTGTCATCTTATCTGTTGGTAAATAAGCCCAGGTGGGATCCACATTCTTTCAAAATTAATTATTTCAAAACTTATTTTCAACCACACTGGACGAGGAGGAACTGGCCAAGGCACGAAAGGCACTACAATCTCTCAAGGAGTTCTTGAAGGACATAGATGATGAATCTGCTACTCTTGCGTGAAGAAGGAGGTTCAATCATTCGAATCACGCAATAGATCTTCTCCTTTCTTAGTGAATGGAAGCAGCTTAGAGCCAATTGATGGAATGAGATGAGGTCTCGTTTTGCTTCTCCCGATTGTCAAGTCTGATCGACTCGACTCTTTTCC